CAGTTGATCAGTAGGGGTGAGAACAACATTGGACCAAAAACCGACTCGACCAACCAATGAACAAACCCACCTGATTTAGGATTGTGGATTTGTAAACTAATGGGAGGATTTCGTTGATGTGTTAATATTATGCAGAATAAAGTTTGTTGAACACCCCGTTCATTTGTTCATTTGGTTGTTTATGTACGACTTTTAGCAGGCCTGTGGGATGTGGATGAGAAGAGTTGCTTTATTCCTGGGCTCGTTTTTTGGGACTGTTTTATTATCAGTTTTGGCCCAAGATAACAGAATTCCGGCTCATAATTTCCTGAAGGTACTGACAAGAAAGCGAGTAGGAAAGAACAAATATTCTGACAGACACTTGACAAGGCAGCGAACAAACGTAGTACTCATTTGTCTGATTGGATCAGGACGGCTCAATCAATATGGTATGGTTTTGCTTCAATCATTATAAACTGAAATTTGTGGAGTCTAGCATATCTCTCCGTGTTTGGTTCATGGTTTAAAATAAATGTAAGGTAAAGTTCAGATTTATGTAACTTACGGAGCCGTAGAAATTCGAGTTTATGAAGCCTATTATATTATGGCAAGGACATTGTTTAGGGCAGTCGAAAGCATGCTTAAAAGCAGGCGCGGGCATCAAATCAAGGTGGTCGTCGTCCTTGACAACTAAGGAATGACCCAAAAATTAAATATGATAGGGCAAAGAAGTGGTGCATTCAACAAGGACAAAACTAATTAGTCCCAAGTGTCTGCAGTGTCCCATTGGATAGGCAAGGTTGAAAGAGACAGCCCCTTCTTCTTTCAGTCTGCAAAATGATAAGGAAAATGGACCCTCAGCGGTGGTTGCCATATGCCATTGTGATTGTCCCCGGCGGCTATGGCCCCAAACCCAACCAAAACACTAATAAATTGGGGTCCCAACTTCCCCATTCAACATTTCATTTCCATTTGTCAAATTTCTTTGTCACTATCTTTTATTTTCCCACTTTTCATTATATCGCATTTATAACCTAATCATCTTCCTTTTCATATCTTACCGATGGTTTTTGTTGTCAGATATTGTCTATTCCAATAATTCAACACTACTTTCAAGCCCACTATTGTTTTGCATCTTTCTAACACAAATATCCACGCTCTAAGTATATGTATTATTTTTAATCACTGTGTCTTACAACATTAAAACGTTAAAATATAGTTAAAAAATAGAAATTTTATGAAATAATTAGCATAAATATAGAAAGCAGAAACTCCTATTGAACTCATTTCTAAACCAATGGTAAAAATATCCACAACTCAATAAATTCTCGTATTTCCCTTGTTGAATGCATCGTTTGCAATTAAATTTGTTAGTTAGTGAAAATGATGAACTTACATGAAACTAATTTTTTTTATATTAAATTGGTTATATATCTAAACTTAAAATTAAAATTTTAAATATCTTCCCAAAATAAAATAAAATAAATTTAATAGTATTACGCAAAATTTATAAATTTGCCATTTAATGTATAAAAATAGTGAAAAACATATTTATTGAGTGGTGGGCCAACCCATCATTAAAAGTCTTCCCACAAGCGCTCATGATTGGTCCATCTGTTCATTCCAGCTCAGCTTCTCATTGTTGAATTCCCAAGGAATTATATTTTTTAGGATTAATTTTGTTTCTTTTTCGTTATTCTTTAGGATAAGTTCCATTTAAGAAAATAAAATTTGAATTCTTATAAAATTACTTTAAAATAAATTTTTGGAAATTGTAATACAATTAAAGGAATTTATAGAAAATAAAATATTTAGTCTCATTTTAAAAACAAAAACTATTAAAATTAATTTTGTAGAAATAAATGAAATAAAATAAATAAATAAATAACACGGACTTTTAAGTGAGTATGACACCGAAATGATCATCTGTGATGGATTATCACCAAAACCAATATCAAAGTGTCAATCAACATTATTTCATGTTTCCGAATTTCTTTAAATAGACAGAGATAGAACACGTAACATTTATAATAAACAAATATTTATGTGCTTTCAATATGATATCTCATCATTAGTTCATCGAATTTCTCTACTATTCGTTGAAAATCAGACTAAATTATACTCTCTTGATACCGTGTAGATAAGATCAAGAAACAGTATATAGTATATAGTTTTAGTTTTAGTTTTTTTTTTTTTTTAATAAATAAAAGTACACTTTTGACTTTGGATCCATTTTGATACGCCCACTTGTCTTAACAACTTTATCTACTCGTTTTAGTGTCGACACAATTGGGAGTTCATGTAGCCATTAAAAATCTACTTTATGTTTTGGACTTCCAAACTCTTTTCGAGCTTATTGATCATGATCTAACTGATCAAAATTAGTTGTCATTACTATTAACTCAGCTGCATTTGCATAACAGCTATTTGCAACTTGAACAAAACTTCACTATCTCGTTGAACTATTGAAAATATTTAGATGACATTCGTGCAGTGTAGACCTCTTGTGGTCAACTGCCATCCTTTTGAATCCTAAATTGATTTTACATAGACAACTATCAAACTCACACTTGTAACGGGTCAACCAACACTAAATCATCCCCATTCTAAATCTTAGACTAGCATCCTCAGTTCCCGTGGTCTTGAAAATTACACTGTTCTCCATCCTTACTAGTTTATGATGATTTGCATCGAGGATATAAACAAACTCCTACATAAAGCTACATGTATAGACCTTGCATAGTTTACTGGTCAATCAAACGAATTGCTACCTCATCGTATCACTTTCATCATGTCAATACAAACTAAGGTGTCATGTGGTGCATTTACCTTGTTGATCCACAACCTTTACATCACTGTAAAAATATTCTACCTCTTTACTCGAAAATTTTCACTTACTCAATTTATTTTTTCTTTACTCTTACCGACAAGTCACAGTTAAACCAAAATACTATAGGAGATTCACGAGAAATAGCTAAACCACAAATCTATAAAAATTTCAAATCATTATATATGTATTAGATATTGTTGTCTTAATAAGATCCCAACTTTCCGACAAAGATATTGACTCTTGATTAGCATTCACTTCATTTCATGATTCCTTTGAAACTTGTTAGTGGAGGTTTCCATACTCTTATATAAAAAAAATGTTTCGTTCCTATCTCCAACCGATTTGGGATCTTACAATCCACCCCATTAAGAGACCAGTGTTTTCGTTGGTACATTGTTTGAGGTCTGCCTCTGATTCCATATGTAACAGTTCGATACCACTATTAACAAATATTGCTTGTTTCAATTCGTTGCCTATCGCCGTCAGGTTTATGATTTTAAAACACGTCTGTCAGGAGAGGTTTCCACACCCTTATACCGAACGTCTTGTTTCCTTTTTCAACCATTTGTGAAATTGGGATGAGGAGTCGGTGGTTCACATGCTATTAACCCTTTTTAGTAGGAAAAGTAACATGGACTTCCAATTTTGATTTAAAATATAATTATTTTTCAAAAGACAATGACAAATTGTTAGACATATTTACCCAAACACGACATGTCACCCTTTTTCTCGTATGACTTTAGACAAATAATCCAACCAACTTTGTCATTTTCTTTTTCCCTTTACTAAATAATCTTCTCATTTTCTCAATATATATATATATAAGGCAACTATTTTTCTACATTTAAATTTTATTTTCAATATTTCATTTCCATCTATCGATTTTCATATTTTTTTAAAATTTTTATTTAAAAAAAAATTGTCTGTATTATTAACCGTTATTAATCATTTTACTTTATAATTGATGTTTCACTTACCACATGAAGACACGTGTTGAGTTGATAAATAAATAATAAAAAGAAGAATTATTAAAAGTTAATAGAAAGAATGAAGTAAAAATAGACTTTTTTTTTACGGTACGTTCAATGTCAACAATAATTTTAAGTAAAGGACTGGTTGAAAACAGAGTATATTAGCAGTAATCTTTCTATTATTGGTTAGAAAACAAGGCCTACTTTTTTGGGACTGCAATTTGTCTTTCAGCTTCAAAGTTCATTAAATAATCTGAATTCCAAATCACTTTTACTTTGTTTTCCTTGTTTTTGATCTTCCCTTTTCTGGGTTTTTTGTTTCTTTATGGTAAAAAGAAAAAGAAAAGATTTTTTTCCATTTTTTCTTGGTGCTGAAGCGAACACCCAACAACTGAGCATTAACAGTAGCGCTAAGCGCAATTGGCAGGCGATACAGTTGCGCACATAATTCTGAATAGCGTGGACTGGCATGCATTCATCTACGTGTCCCATTGCTACCCTCTTATTCCAGAATCTTTCAAAAAAAAAAAAAAAAAAAAAAAA